AGCTTCGGCTGTGGTGCCACCCAGTGGCAGCCGCGGAGGGCCCTGGGCCCCTCACTTTCCCCCTCCGGCAAACAGCATGGGGGAGAGCACCCGGAGAGGTGAAGTAGGCTAGGCAGAAAGAGCGTGACCAGCCTTGTCATATAGGCAGGAAACTAAGTCCCGACTTTCTGGCTTTAGCCTGACAGTCTGGCCACTGCACCAGACTGGATCTCATTCGGGAAATGCTGTTTAGTAAACACTCTTCTAGTCTCATTGGGTCTTTTTTCCATAACATGGTAATCATGCTGCTACTCATACTAGTAAAACTGTGGCCTCCAGTGTTCATGCCAGGCTTCTTGACCCTCCTGATTTGCTTTTATTCCTTAAATTTGGTTTTTTAGAAGTATCCTCTTCCTCCTCCTCCTCAGGCTATTTTGAAGTAGAGCAAGTGCTGCTCTCTATTTTGGTCCCAAAGAGGGTTTTTGAGAATTTTGGAAGTGAGGCCCCTCGACTGCCATGTTGGTTGTGTTGCTTTCCCTTTAGTCTCCCCCATTTGCCTTCTGGGAAATGAGTGTTCTCTGATTGGCCATCACGACAGCCATTTAAGGGAAGGGCAAGCCCCAACTTTGATGGCCATTTCATGAGAGCACGCATGAAACTCTCAAAATTCCAAATGTGCTACTTACCCAAAAAACTTCAGGACCCCTGCAGTTTCTCACATTGCCTTCCTCTCCTTAAATGGTCCTTCATATTTATTACTTATATAAAAATTAGAACATGTCATTACAGCAGTGATGTGTATGGAATAGCCCTGAAGCTTCCCCCCACCTCTTTGTGTAAAAGCAAAAAGACGGGACAAGCTCTCAGTACCCGTAAACTTTATTAAAATATGTGCTTCTTCAGCCTTAAATTAAATTAAAAAGTATTTCAGCTCTTACAGAAATAGCATCAAAGTGAGGAAATGAGAGGATTACCACACACACAAAAACATAAAATAGTATGTACAAAGGAAAGAAGACTTTTTTCCCCGTTAATAAAAATGGGATGGGTATCCCTTTTGGGAGGCCTTATATGGTATAGCTTATATACTGGACAGAAGAGGCAAGCTAAAGTAATAAGTATTTAAAATAAATAAAATTGAGAAGGTATGCTCTTGAACTGAATAGAAGCCATAGAATTCACAAAATAGACAGTCTTTTGCCCATTTGTATTTATTATACCAGTTGTACTAAATGGTAAGTGTCTCATCCAGCAGGGCCTCTTCACGCTCTGGCTTTTAATCTTATTTAGCAACAGGTTTGTGAGTTTATTGTATGTTATGAATGTTCCCCTTGCCAGAGAGCGAGAGCGAGAGCGAGAGCGAGCGAGAGAGAGAGAGAGAGAGAGCACAAAAGCAAAGCAAAAATTCCCACCCAAACATCTTTAGAGCAGTGTTGAAAGGTTGCATCCTTTAGCTTTTCAGCATAAACATTTTATAGTATATACTTAACACAAAACAAATCGTGCCATTTTTTCCTGATGCACCACTGCAGGGGGTTCACAGTAAGCCCCATATCAAGGTCCTGGTTCAGTCCTGCATTACAGAAAGGGCAGCTATAAAGTGATCCACAAACTGAGAGCCAGTTTTTGGCTTTGACTTGTTTAGAACTATATGCCAGTTGCAACTGTCCCAGGAAAACATGATTTCCCCTAACACACACACACACTGGGGGGAGTATCCCCCTATATTATAGGACAGGGGTAGGTAACACAGTGCCCATGGGCCCAAACGTGCCCTAGAACACCTTTCTGGGCACCCAGCAAGGAACCCTAATTTTCCTGCTTGTTGTTATTATCATTACTTTTAATCAACACATTTTCTAACGGAGAGCTGCGATTGCTGTGAACCACTTTTATGGTGGTGCTGTGAAAGTTGTGGGTAGAAAGCCATTGTTTGGTGTGCTGGGACTCAGCTCCCACCTCTGCCTGGTACCCGAGTCTTCGGGGCAGGCTGCTTGTCCTTCGCCACCCCTCCCATGCGGGCAGTTTCTCCAGCTGCCCGTTGTGCCCGTTGCCCAACACTGCCTACAGGGCCTGCAGACCATTCTTTGGCCCCACTTCCCCTCCATCAGCTATATAAAGCACAGGGGTCAAAGAGGGTCAGTAGAAGCAAGTTCGGCTGTTTTAGCACCTACCGGCTCCACACCATTTCTTTGTGGAGGAGATCGCCTTTCTCCAAGGTGTCTCAATCCAAGGTCTTCATGTTTAACTCCGGAAACCTGAAGCAAAGCCCAGGAGGCCCATAGAAAGGAAGCCAGCCCAGCCAGCCAGTGATTAGGTCATTGTGAAACTGATCCCTCCCAGGCTCTGAGAGGACAGAGGGAGTCATTCGCTGTCAGAAACAGAATCCTTCTCTATGACTCTCGTTGCAAGAGCGAATTCTTTTGCCGGGATATAGTATGCAAATGAGAAACAAAAATCTATATACGCTTGATTAATATATATACTTTATACTACTTTAATATTCATTGAAGACTTTAGGATGACTTTTTAAAAAATCTGATGAGAACAGCTTATGGTCAAACTGGACATGAAGGGATGGTCCTACCACGCGTGTGGTGAGTCTTACTTGAACGGTAAGGAGGACCTGTGAAAAGGCAAGCTTCCATCTCGCATCCTGCCACCCTTTCCTGCCTTCCACCGTGGACTTAAAACTCTTAGTGGGATAATTGGAGAAGGCCAACAGGCTGTGGAAAGACGGAGAAGTGGAATTGGGAGGGCTTACTGTCCCTCTCGCATGTGCTCCTTTTATTGCTCAAGTAAAAAACTCACTTCTTACTTTGTTCACAGAAATGTGAGCCAAAATGTTCCATGACTAGTTTGGCCCTTAGAACTGAGGGTGTGATCAGAAGGACACGGAATGGCAGCCAGTGGGTCTCCACCGGGGCCTGTGGTGTAGCTGTGAGACCAAGGCTGATGCTTGCTCTGGGCCTGCTTTTGCTCACCTGGAGCAAGCCCGGTGTTTGGGAGTTCAGCTCCGTCAGTGGCCAGGAATGTGGGCAGTTGTAGCGCGGAACATCTAGAGGGCACCAGGTTGGGAAGGCTGCCCTTTGTCTGCCACTGCAGTGTGGGCCTCATAGGGTTTTCCAGCAAATAGCTGCATGGGAGGGGCACAGCTTGCACAGGTTGCCTGGGAAGACATCATGCTTGCAGCACGGGTCATGCTTTTCACAAACTGCAAGGCTGCACAAGCTGATGAGGATCAAGCTGCCACTTTCCCAGCGCTATGGCTTACTGAAAATACGTGCAGGAACAATTGGCTTAAATTCTCACCCATGTCAGTTCCTCTTAGCTGGTGAGAAGGGGAGATGGCCTTTCCCGTTCGGAGAGAGCAAGGCCCTCAGTGGGAGGATGGCTTGCGTGCATCTCCAGGCCAGCTGCTGGGCGGCTGAAGCAGGAGGCACAGTTGCACACATGTCCTTCCTGTGGACCTCCCATAGGTGTCTGTAGAAACAGAGGAGTGGACGACATAGGCCTTTGGCCGGTCTAGTGCACCTCTCCATATATTCTTAAATATCTTTATTTTTTAAATCGGTTTTTCTTTCAAGCAGGGGAGGGAGCAAGGAGATGAGAATTCATTCCTTTAGCATTTGTTTGTTTGTTCTGCTGGAAGTGGGGGATGAACAATATTGAGAGACTGCGAGTCACAGAAAGAGCAGCCCTTCCAAATAGGTGGTCACGGTATTTAGGCTGAATTCAGCTTACCGAACGACTTCAGAGAGAAGAGCTTCTGCGAGCTGCAGCCAACCTGCTTTGTCATATGTTCCGATCTCAAGTGACCTCTTAGCTGCTTTCATTTCTTTGGGTGATTATAGCATATTTATCCAGATGTTTTATGGCACAAGACACTGCCAGAAAAGGGCTTAAGGCTAGAGATGGGAGCTTCTGGGTTGAGGCAGCAGGCTGAGTGGATTGGTGGAAGGTAGTGAGTGGTGACCCTGTGACCTCTTGAGCTTAAGTGGGGGAGATGACAGAGAAAATGACTTCATTTTCGCTCTGCCTACTGTTGACTCTTCAACTCAGTCCAGCTGTCACTTGAGAAACTCGAGCTAATATAAGGCTTTACAGAGACGACAGGTGGATGAGCTGTGGGCGGAGGAATAAAGCTTTGAAAAGCCTTTCAAACTATAATGAAGATACTTTATCTTAATTAGTTTGGATATTGGATCTTCGTTGAGAAAACATCTAGGTTCAGAGTCCTATGTTTGGACAAGGCCTCACACCACTCTTCAGTAAATGCCTAATGACCTGTTCCCAGGAGTGTGCTTGAGCTTTAGTAGTACAAACAGAGAAGTGCTGCTACACCTTCGGAAATGAAAACGCGGCAGCGAGGCAGAGAAACACCTCTCCTTCCCGACTGTCCGGGCTCGTGCCACTGTGGCATCTTTATTGAGACATGTGGGGATCAAGCCAGTGCAGACCTTTATAGCTTGGACCTGCTTGCAAAGCATTGACCGACTTTGCATAATAAAACTCTAGCCGCTCTCGCAATAAATCCATCCTTTGGAGTCACTGTAGGAATGCAGAGGTCTGCATCTAACTCTTGTATGATATGCCATGGAAGTACAGGTAGAAATGGAAAAATACCATTCAGTCTTGATCGTTTTGGTTGCCAACAGGACCAACTCATGCCATTAAAGCAAAAGAAAAATCTGAGCACAGGTACTGGTATTAAAGACGGATGGCTTCGTGAGAACATAAAGGTACCACACAGAAAACTTGAACGATGCCTATCAAGAGACCGGACTCACTCGTCACACCCCAAAGACAGTCTTCTCTATTTGGGCAATAGGATATTATAAAATTTGGATCAATAAAGCCAGTCAAAAAGAAAACCATGATGTTTGCATCAAAATGAAAATATTAATTGAACCACCAGACATTAGCACAAATATTAATTTCCCCTCTCTATTGTATGTACAAAAATATATTTTTCTTTTGTATTTGTTTAAATTATTTCCCCTCCCACCCCAACATCAGCCTCAATCCCAGCCGAAGTCGTGCCCAGTCATCTGGTAGAACTTCATGTTGAAGGGCCGGTAGAACTCGCGCAGCCGCTGCACCACCCTCTGGTCGATGTTGGGATGGGTCCGCCCCTTCGTTTTGCCCAGGCAGTGGGGCTTGCTGCTGCCCTCGGCCTTCTTCAGGCAGGGGAAGCCCTTGGTCTTGTTGAAGTAGAAGTGCTTGTCCGTGATGATCCGCTTGAGGCCCAGGAAGTCCTGCACGCGGCCCAGCTCCCCGGCGGGGTCGCTGATGAGCCTCTCGCCGCTGACGAACAGGATCTGCCCGATGGGGAAGTACAGGAGCCAGTTCTCCAGGTGCTTGGCGTAAATGCCGATCTGGATGGCGCTCCAGGAGGTGTCAATCAGGCCTGTAGTCCTGTTTTTGAAGGTCAGGCTCTCGAAGGTGGGGATGTCCGGCTTCTTGGACAGCGTCTGCGTGTAGTCCGAGATGGCTCTGGTGACCGGGTCCCTCACCACCACAATGAGCTTGGTGCCCTTCGACATGGCAGAGATCCGAGCCGGGGCTTCCTTGGTGACAAAGTAGCTGGGAGTCTTCTCCATGGTGATCTGCCCATCCAGAGTTCTTGGCATCAATTCTCTAGTGCAGAAGACAGAGAAGCCAAAAATTACTTTCGCAGAATTTAACAGCATATCTGCATGCACCTAACTTCAGGAAGTTTCATAGACTTGGCTTTCAGGAATTTGGCATTTTGTACAATGGAAAACATTTCAGCCACATAAGATAGTTCTCATAAATGAGATCCCAGTTACAGGGGAGACAGAAAAATGCGAGCACTGGGTTCTTCTGTAGCCCCTGGTATTAAACTATGTTCACAGTTTTCAGCAGCATTACAAGCATACCCTCTGTATTTCATGCTCCTCAAGTTCCCCACAATCCACAAGCTCTCAGTCTTTTTAAACAGGGTGTGTGTGTATGCACATGTATGTAAAAATGCTAGATAATGCATCACATATATTACTCATCAGTAATCTATGAGTACGATTCCGTTCTGAAGATAATACCCAACTAATAAACCAGTGCAGTAGATTGCTGTGCCAACAGTCATGGGAAGGTACCCACAGGAATCCTTTTGTCAAGGTCTCTTGAGATGAAGGCCAGCTGGCACAACCATCTTAGCACACCGCAGATGCTGACTGTATAGGCTGATGGTATTGTCAGTGCGTTGTAGTTACCGGGTATGCTTTATGTGATGTCTTTGCTACAAATGCAACCTGTGTGTTTACAGGCAACCTGTGAACAGGGCAGGCTGCAGGTGGACCTTGGCCACCCTCCGCACAGGCTGCCTGCCCTGGAGCCTCCCCCACTGTTCCTGGCTTTCAGCTGCTCAGCCATCAGCTGGGTAGCGAACAGATGGTCACTTGCCCTCTGGTATGTGGAATCTTGATGAGGATCACTGTTGTGGTTGGGAGAGGGGGAAGAGAAATTAAAACCTCACCCCCATGAGCACTCCTGATCGAGATCACCCTTTCCTTGCAGCAATTACCAGAAGGAAAACAGGAATCCCTCCTGCTGTCTGAATGTGTATGTATGTGTTAGACAGTGCATAGGTATGCAATGCATATGCCCTGGGCCCACCCTCCACCAGCTCCACCCTCTTGAGCGCTTGCTGGAGTCTGCAAAGGGCTATGCAATCTTTGAACCCCCAAAACTGCCCCCCCCCGGCATACACCAACCCACAGTGACGATGGCATCATACTTCACCCACATCTATCTCCAGTTAAGTTCACAGCAAAGCTGTCCTTGGGTGGCCGAAAAGAGATCCTGTTGTACACCCCCCTGCAGGGCCATTTGTGTTGCTAATTGATTTGAAAAATGTGCTGTTGTTTGTGGAGCTGTGTAGGCGCACATCACAAGTACTGGAAAACATGAAATGGCTGATCGTCCAGCCTGGCCAGCGACGTTCAGCAAGCTGGGAACAGACTCCTGTTTCCTCCCCACAAAGTCAGTTGCCTTGTCCATAAAGAAAGGCCAAGGGTGTCAAACGTATTCCTTCAGAGTGACACAGAATGGGCATTTGAAGACTGGGTTTTCCTTCCTGAGCCTAACACTGGAGCTGCTTCATCACATTAATTGTTGTGTATGTGGGTGGGAGGGTGGGTGGGTGGGGAAGCCATTTGTGTAGTCTTCAAGCATCCAAGGGAACATCAGAGAGGAGAAGCCGAACAATGGTAGTTTTAGGATAAACATGAATGAGTAGGTGGGAATCTTAAAAACCAAAGTAATTCAGCAAGAAACATCCTGCCGCAGGTAAGCTGATAAAATGTGGTGTGGGTTCGGGAAAGGAGTTGGGACAGACACGTTTCCGAACACCAAAGCTGTGAGCCTCAGCCCAGGCCAGAGCACAGTTACCTGCGACACAGTTTGACTGGAGACAAGTGTGGGATAAAAGAAATGCATGAAGACACCACGGGAACAGTGCTTGTCATATGCCTTCCAGATTCCAGCTCCCTTGAACCTTTAGCCTGCCTGCCAGCAAGGACGCCAATGGCCACATCAAGTGCCACTGCTTCCATTTGCAAGTGCTGCATGTTTCCAGAAGGCAGCAGTCTTCTGTCTTTCCACATTTCATTGCAGAAGCTGTGCTTGTGAACATGCGTGAAAATTATTCTGTTTTGGCTGCACTGTTCTGTGTATTTGCGAAGTTGGACCCTGGGCAGTTGCACCTGCTCAGACGGCTCCCTCTGAGTAGCTTTCGCATTTTAAAGCCACCCCACCTTAAGGCACAACCTGGGCAGTTTTCAACAGAAAGAGGATGGTGCTTTTCATGTGCAATTATATGGGCAGAGGCCTGCACCAGATCCTTTTTACACACAGCATCTGCACATGCCCCAGAAGCAACTCTTCTTTATGGTTTAAGCACGTGAGAGCAGCTAATATAATTATCAGGAGACAATGGGGCATTCTAGGATCATCTCATTTTAAAGCTTAAGAATGATGCTTACAGAAAAGGTCAGCCAAAATCCAGTCCCAAAAAAAGCAAACAAGGATTCCCCCAGATAGGGCCAGATGTAGCCATGTCTAATATCAATGATCTACCCTTATGAATCAGAAGAACAACTGAAATATTACCCCAAGAAAGCAAACACAGAAGGGGGCTTGCATTTAGATGTGGATTTACGGAGAGAACTGATCTTTTTAGGTGGCATCTTGTGGCACAATCGTGTTCTTCAGAGTGAGGAGATGGATACAATCTTTTTCCTGCTTGTATTGGCAGGCTGAAACCACTGACTGCGTGCTGTTGGGAGCCACGAGGAATGTCCTGCCACATCTTTGGGAAGATTAGTTAATGACAAAGGCATCTTTCATGGCCATACACAACAGCCGCCTGTTGGGTCTGTTGGAGGGTGGCATCTGGATGTTATTGAAAAGGAACCACCAGAAAAGATCAGAGCCACAGAAACATGTTGCCAAACACCATTTCGAAATGACTTTAGCCAAAATAAATGCACTCCTGTAATTTCACTTTTAGAGGGCCTTTGGTGCGGGTGTCTCTGTATAATTCCTTAATCGAAGGAGATGATTTCTCCGAGAGTGGTGCTGAGTTGCACAAAGGAAATCCAGAGCCTGGCGCGGCCTCCTTTCTGCATCCAATGCCCCTGACTCCAGAGCCATGCTCTGAGTATATTAGTGCACATTAAAAGCCAGGGCCTAAATTGACGCATTGCAATTTGAGAACTATGCACCATTATCTTTTAATTATTCCTCATCCTGAGGAGTATGCACATTTGTCAAGAAACAAAAACAGAACTGTGTGAATGTCAGCATTTTGTGCAGCATGGGAAGGTACAGAATATACCGCCCGAACATCACATCCGTCCAGAGCTTTAACTTTATTTACTTTGCCACTCCATTTACAGCTTGTCCTTGTTCCTCTTGCAAGGAATCCAAGGTGCCTCCCATGCTTCTCCACCTCTCCAGTTTAGTCTCACAACAGCTCGGTGAGGGAGGCTAGGCTGAGAGTCTGTGAATGGCCCAAAGTAACCCACTGAGCTTCATGGACTTGAACCCAGGTCTCCCCAGTCCCACGCCAATGTGCTCGCTACTGCACCATGTCTTGTGTTGTTTACCTGCTCTGCTGATCACATGCCTCTATTCTACTGAGCTTTCAGCGATCAATCACTTCCTTTGCAAACTGTCTTTCCATGCAGCATGCTCAAAGCAGTTCACAACAAAGCCTTATGAAAAATGCATTCCTGTACGTAATGAAGAAAATGAGATGATCTCATGTTTCACAGGCACATAAAAGAGCCTTGCGAGATCACAGCAGGGTCCCCTCTAATTCATCCTTCTGCTGGCACAGTGGCGAACCAGCTTTCATACAAGCCTTCTGTCAGCCTGATGCTGAAGGAGGGTCTCCTGGTAAAAGATGCACCTCTGCTGTGGCGCACCTGTGTGATCCTGATGTGTGCACAGCTTGCCCAGTGGGGCTGGTCCCAGTGGGTCTGTGCCCCAGAGCATGTGTATGCCCTTGAGGATGGACATAAGAGCCCCACTACTGGCTTCCCTTTGCTCCATCTTCAGCCTTTTAGCCTGGACATAAATGACAGCGAATTGCTCTCGGCTGCTGCTGTTCAGAGGTTTTGCGAGGGCTGCTGGCACGCCAGCATTCAGGCTGCACCTGTCCGAGAGTACGTGCCCCCCCTCAGGCATCCATGGACGCATCCACTTCTGCCCTCTCCCTCCAGCAGTTGCAGTACACACCATGCCCACCCTTATGTGGCTTCCCAGGGGATGTGTCCAAATTTTGTTATACTTGCAAATCATGCAAACAAGTTTCATCCACAAATGCAAATGGGAGTGGGAGCAATTTTTGCAGGGGAGGGAGAATTCCTGAATTTTCCAGAAATCCTTTTCTCAGTTGAAAACATGCATTTTTAAAAAATCCATATTTTTCACAAGTTATCGCACAGGGTTAAGTATGTATTCAGGTGCGTACCTTTGAAAAATACACATTTCCTCCAGGCAAAATGTGCAGTTTTCCCATTTGAACAAAATCAAAATAGTGAACTCAAGCATGGGAAATGAGCTGAGCCAAGCTTCAAGGTGGCGTTCAGATAATCTTGGCTTGTTCACTCATCTCCAGACTTTACTTCATGTATTTCCAGAGTGATCAATGGAAATTTGCCACAGTTGACTGTGTTTCAGATCCACCACGCCACATGGCCGCACACCTCCCTCTCCCGAAACCCCCCAGTGCCCTCCGGCATTCTGCTCCTCGGTCCGCAATGGCTGAGGACGATTTCCTGAATGGGCAATTGTGTCTCGAACGAGACAGGCCGAGAATGCCAAGCGAGGAAGAAAAGAGCAGCGGCAAGCAAGCTAGTAAGCCGCGCGGATACAGTTTCTATGCAGGTGCCTTTGGGTGCAGGGAACAAAGCGTGGCATATCACAGAATACACGGCCTTGCGACAGAGCCATCCCTGAGCACTCTCACACACTGACAAAATCATTTATCCTTATCTTTGCTTTTGTTACCATTGACCAGGCCCTGGCTCCCAAAGGGTAGCGGGGCCATGGAATATCTGCCAGGGAAACAACGGGGAAGAAACAGAAGCCAAAACTCCAGGAGAAAGAAA